TTCTTTTGTTTTTGAGTGTCCCGAGGCCCCCGAAACCCTTTTTTAAAAGCTAAACTATTTGCTTATTCAATAATATAAAAAAACAATGTGATTTTATATTTTAAAGTTTTGAGCCTTATCTCCTATTAATAATGAGATATTCCATTGCATTGGTAACAGAGGCTAATACATCAAGATAATAAATAAATAAGATTTATGCTTGTAGAAACAATACACATTAAAATTAAATCATAAAAATTTAATACATTGATGTAGTTTATAAAATCAAGTGACTTCTTTCAACATTTGTAAACAAACCCCAAAAATATAAAAGGCAAATATTATTATTTATATTTAAGAAGATTTAAATAACCTTGATATATTGTTACCTGAAATTCCTTCCTAATTAAAAATGCATTTCCCCAACATCTTCCATTTTCTTAATTCCTGTTCTTTTATTGCTTCTCTTTAATAATGTTTTTTTTTCTCATATTCTTTCACACTTTTAAACCTTTTGCCATTAGTGGCTTTATTAACTTGTTTAAAATGAAATCATTAAAAAAAACATGCTAACATTAACAATGCCAGATTTTAAGATGTTGATTTCAATGATTAAATTGAAAGTATTTAATGTTTGTACCTTCCAAAAGTGCAGGGCCTGTAGCATTTGGATTTTGCTACTTCTAAATAATAATCTGGTAATGACTTTTGATTACTATAACAATGGAATATCTCATAATTTAAAGGGGAGAACAAAAATTCATTGCTTTTTAATTTCTTTTGTTTTGTGTTATGTTTTTTGGATATTTTTACTTTTATTGAATTTAAAAAAGCAAAAATTCTTTCTTGAATGTGACAAAAAGGTTAAAAATTCAAGACCACTCAAAATATATAACCTATGCAAAATGCAAATGTTTTATTGCAGTACTTGTTTGGAGCATAAATTATGTAAGAAGATAAATATATATTGGTATGGGTGCATGAATAAGTGGTTAGTAGGTTTGCTTTCTGACCATAAGAAAGGTTTGAATCTCATCCCCAGTTGATTTGTCTGGAAGTAACTTCCTGATGCTATTGGTCTTTTTGGGTTTATCCTAATCATTTGTTTATTTTGAAAGTGTCTGAAAATCAATCATGGGTTGACCCAAGCCTTGTGAGTGAAATTGGATAGACAGAACCCTTGAAGGCCATTGATAGCTAAGGGGCAATGGTCACAAGTCATTGTGACTGAGGGTTTGAGGTATTGGCATGGTTCAGATTGTTGGTCACACTAGATAACACACTCTCCCAGAAACATTCTAAGTTTCCCTTAATTAAACATAGTTGCGGTATAAACCACAAACTCTGTGGGTGTTGGAACAAAACACAAATGGGATTAGCAAGCGTCTTAGTAGACAGGAATACTTTAGATGCTGCCCCCAATATGTTAAGTATATTATTTTATGATTTCATATTTTTATATTTATAATGTCCTTTGTGAATTTACATGGTCTTGACCTGGCATTCTCTTTGTTTTAAAACTTTCCTACAGCCATAGTATCCTGGCCATGATGCATAATTAAATTAATAAATGTTTTCAAATTATTGATCCAAAAACTTATCACCCTTTTTATAATTATTTTTTAAGTGCAAATGGCAGATTAGAAGCAAGGTCTCAAATATTTTATAATGGAAGGCAACAATGCTTTAACAATGCAGCAGTTCTATGTTAACAGTTTTCTTCTTTTCATTTCTCATTTGTGGTAGGCTCTTATGATTTCTTCCAAGGTCAATTATATCTTCTGTCTTCTTGTATTCCTGTTCTTTTATTATACATCTCTCAAATGAATAATTTTCTTTTTCATTTCTCAATTCACTTTCTTACACCCAGTAAACCCTTGTATTTAGTAGATTTATTTCTTGCTTGGGATTCAATGATTAAAAAAATAAAAAAAAAAAGTTTTTTAAAGAAATTAGAATGAAGTCTTTTAATTTTATGTTTATTGTTCCCTTCAAGTATCAACACTGTCATCATACTTTCTCATATTGAATATAGAATCTATAATGCATATTCAATATTAGAAAGAAAATTCTTGATTTTTTCAGAATTGAAATGCTATAAATCAATTTTCTGGATTCTTCTAAGGATTTTTTATTGCTACTGGATTAAAAAAATTTAAAAACTAAAAAGGTTAAGTTAACCCTTAAAAATTTGATATCAATTCCAGAAATTATTTTAATTCAATTCTATTTATATTTCTCAAAATAATATTTTTATATATTTTTCAAATACACAAAAATCAACACACACACATATTGTGGAATGTCAGGGGGTAAAAATATTGTAAAATATTTAATTTGTCCCCCAAAAGAAGATGGAATAGGAAAAGAAAATCAAATAAAATGTAAATTTAAAATTTTTACATTCCACAAATAGTTGCAGTGATTGACAAAATTTATTCATTTTCTTCCTTTGAAGACATTTTTCATGTGATATAATTTAAACTAGACACAGGAAGATTTCTTAATGACTTCCACTTCAGTAACATCTGGCTGTTACAAAAAACTAATTGTAATGGAACTGCTCCATACATTGTCCTTTTATTTAAATTATTTGATCTCATTTACATATATATAAATACAAAATGTGTGTGAATATTTAACAAAAAATATCTGTACTCATTTGTAAATGCATTAAAACAAAAGAGTATAAATTTCTAATAACTTGATAGCTAAATAAAATTCTCAATAATCAATAATTCCTAATAAACCACAGGCAAAAATATAACAAATTGGGAGTCCACAATGATATTTTTGGTGGTCCATGAAGGGTAGCCAACTCAGAATAGTTTTTATTATTAAAAAAAATTAAATTTCTACTGTAAGTTACAATATATATATATATATATATATATATATATATATATATATATAAATTGATTCTTTCTTTATTTCTTTTATATAGGTACCTCCACTGAATTTTCAATAGTCTGGATAAAATTAATTTTAAAAAATGAAAAATCATTCTTGAAATTTCATTTTTAATGTAACCATGTCCCAGAAACTTTTGATTTGTTCAAAGTAGTTCTGGGCTATTTTGGACTACAGTAACCGATAGGACAATCTAGCAACCCAATGGTAATGGACTGGTTTTCAAGTGGTGGTAATTGTATTTTTTTTCCAGGCCAATAACATCAAGATATTCACATCCCTGTTCCTCCACTATGACAAGATTTGTATTTATGGCTGACACCAAAATCAAATTACTGCGAGGGGGTAAAAGGTGTATTCATATTTTCTTACATCAGGGAAGGAAATTTTCAATATTTTTCATTGTAATATAAGATATTGGTTAATAAAATTATTATTACTATAATTTTATTAATATTACTACATTTATTAATTGTAAAATAATTTATTTGCATTAAATTAGTTTTCATTTAAAAAATAAAGCTTAATTATATATTTTTTGATTATTAAAACCTCAAAATTATTAGTGAAAAATAGAATATTGTTGTCTTATGGTAGACATGAGACAGAACCAATTATTACAACTGGTCGCGATTTGCCTTTTCCCCTGCCAAAAAAGCCCGTATTTGCATAGCATGTAAAGCTACTTCAGTTGAAATGAGGAGAAAAAAGCACTTACCGCTCTGCTGTAATCCATCCTCGGCCAGATAATGTAAAAAACAATGAGGGGGGGACTTGTTTTGCATTTTATCCAATAAAATGATGCATTATATGGACATTATGGTTTTAAGGATGCAATGAATTATGGGATCACATGAAGACGCAAGGATTATGGGTATATGGACAAATATAAAAAATTTACTTTTTCCCAGTGGGTAGAGTTCTTGAAGTGACGTTCACGGTTGACGGCTAGAAAAGTCAGTTAGTGCGATTTTTGAGACAGAACTCAAGAAGGAATGACTTGATTAAGTTTGAAATACCAGCTGGGAGAGCTTGAATTTACTTGTACTGGTTGCAAGTTTTCTTCATTCGGATCAGAGTATTTTCAGCTATTGATTCTTCCAAATGGAAGGTTTTTGTTCATTTGACGTCCGATTGTTGATGGTAAGAATTCAGAGCTCATTGTACATTGTGGCCATTGTTGAATGGATTTAAAATTAGAATTGGTTTCTCGAACTTGTGCCATGGACAATTTCGAGAGTCTCTTGCCTTTAGAGATTGGTAGGTCCCCCATGTCCTAATGGACCTAACCAGAAAAGAGGCAGACGGAACAAATTAATAGGCCCTTATGACTGCATGAATCCACTGACAAATTTAATTTGTTTTCACCATTATGGGACGTAAATTCATAAATATTGTTGAAATAGTTTGTTGGATGAATTCCTGGCTGAAATGAATTGTTTGGCGGCAATGAGGTTGACCGCCAAATTTTTTATAATAAATGGTATGTTAATTTCTTGTTCTGGGTTGAATCATGTTGTATATTTCTTAAAGCTGTTTCTAGGGGGAAATTTGTCATGTTTATAATGACCCGAGCAAGGGCTATTTTCATAGTTATGATTATTGTTTTTCCAGGTGTTCAATCTTTACTATTGCTTAATTTAGAGAGAAATAATCTAAATTGAGGTTCCCCTATAAGATGGTTTGAAATCGTTATTGACTATCATCTGTTTTATATTGCCATAAGTTCTTTAAAGAATAACAGACAAGTGGAGGAATTCTTGAGCATTCATGAGGAAATTTTCAGAGGTCTATTTGCATCTAGGTAGACATTCATTAATAAAATTAGATGACAGGTGTTTTTCAGAATGTGGTTTTTTATATAACAATGTATTATTATTGTATACCGAACAGTATAAAACAGAATTTTTTCCATTTAAGATTTCCAAGTTTTTTTAGATGGATAAAGTGCAAATCTATGGATTCGGGATGCTCACATAGAGAAGATATATTTTAGGTTGGAAGCAGGAAGAGAGGTTTTTCAAGTTGATTTGTTTTCACCACAAGACATATAATAATTGAGAAGCTTTGTTTGAGGGATCAGCCCGTGACTAACACCTGGTAGTTTAGGGCGTTGCTGAACATTGATCTTCTTTATGATTGATGCAATCAAAGTGCTCGGATTGTTTAATTGTGTAATCAGGAGAATATTAGGTTTGAAAGATGGAGGTGGAATGCATTGTTTATAAACAAGCCTATATTTAATGGTTTAACCCAACAAAAACGGGACTGCATTGGGGAATTAATTCGACATCATTCACCTTGGTTTAGTCAATAAAGTGTCTTAAAGATTTGAAGAAATTGATGAGTCCGGGATACGGTATTTGATAAGAACTAGCATGGTGGTAATAATATTAATGGATGGCTACTTTTTAAAATAGTAAATGAGAAATGAGGAGCCCATCTGGGAAAGGATTAATTCATAATCCAAATTTATGTATTTTAACAAACAGAAGGTCCGTATCCTGGTTGGTAATTCCATTGATTTTATTTGTAGGGATCCCACTTCAGCATTATTTGATGTTATGAGCAGAAATTCACAGAATTTTATAAAGTTTCTGACGATCGCTGTTGGATTAATATAAATGCGTAGACCACAGATTCCATCATGTGTTGCTGTTTTTTTTTTCAAATAAGTGGTCATCCAAAATTATATATGCATTATTTTTATCAGGGTTTTGGCCTGACAATGGCATCTTTTGTTTTTAAGTCAGTTGTGGCTTTTTTTTTAATCATTTTGGCAGGAAATTAAGAGTGCCCACTTATTGCATGGTTAAAATATCTTCTGAAGGAATATAAGGAAATGAGAAACATTATTTGCAGATTAGAACTAATCTGTAAAGAACCGGAATTAAGTAGACAGAAGATGAACTAAGGACATTGCATTTAAAGTTTGAAGATCAAACTTGACTGGAAGTAAAAAAGTCAGAAAAGATTTTGTAAGGTGACCCGAGATGAACCTGGGATTCCTAGCACAAACTGGTCGGTAACTTGCCTTGTCCCGCCAAAAAGAGGCAACTGCATTTATTAGCATGTAAAGTATACTCTAAGTTGAAATGGGGGAGAGAAAAGGATGCCCTACCCCTTACGATGCTGAGGAAAACATCCTTCTATTCAGATAATCAAATCCTGAGGGAGACTGGTGTGTGAACGGCAAATGAAATGACAGTTTGGGTGGATGCAAGCCTATTCACACGGAGTAGCACTAGAGGTGAATGGGAGCATCGGAAGATGCTTGCTGGTTGCGCCCCAACCAATGATGCCAAACACATTATCTTTGCTGAGCTTGATGCGTGATCAAGGGCGGAATCTTGCCCCCAGTGGCAGGCACCAGTTATGCATGTGTGGTCACCGATTCAGCATGTGTGCATCGGTGGGTGTCTGACACCCTGACAGAAAGGACGCGCGGAACACGAAGGCAGCGGGTGAAATGCTGATGAGGCAGCGCTTAGAGACACTGCGAGCTTTGGTGGAGGGGTACGCACGACTATGACTGTGACGTTGGTAAAAAAACTTGTCAGAACCAATAAGACAGCCTCACCAGAGTGCTGCAACACTGGTTGAAGATGCACAAGAAAGGAGGAGAACCGCAAGTGAGTTGTGTCACTGCAACGAGCCAGTTGAGCAAACGTCAGGTGACCCACATCCACCAGCAGAGTGGGCACCCAGGTGTTAAAAGAACAATGTACTTTGCTAGGACTGTAGATCCAACGGTGTCTAAGGAACTGGTAAAATCTGTCGTTAGAACCTGTGAAGCCTGCCAATCGATCGATCCAGCACCAGTGCATTGGAAGAAAGGAAATTTGAGTGTGAGAAAACTGAGCAGGTTAGCAATGGACGTAACCATTGCAATGGTAGCCATTTTCACGCTCATTGACTGAGGTCCCTCCTGTTTTGCAGTATGGGCGGCCACTGAGATGGCAAGACTCTGCTGGTGTCATTCACAGCTTAAAAACAGTCTTCCAAACGAGGCCCGCCGACTGAAATACTGACTGACAATGACACCATTCTCACTTGCAGACAATTTAGGAATTTAAAACAGCTGGGCATGCATTTGAGGTTCCGGTGTTTATTTACGTGTTGTCTAAAATGGCATTGAACCAACCAGAAGCGTCAAAACCATAATGCCAGGAAAAATTGTTCAGTCTTGGAAGCGGTTTACTGGCATAACGTCACACCTAAGGACAACCTTTTCACCTTCCACAGCACCGGCTGATGTACTGCACACACACCACGTCCAGGTGAGAGGCATCAACGTGACGCCCCTACCTGAATCACAAATAACCTTCTTATACAAGAAAGGGGACATTGTCTGGGTTAAGACTCCACGTGGTAAATGCATGACCAAATTTGGAACCGGACGGTGACCGAGGTGGTGAGTCAGCAGTCAGTGCGGGTTGATGGAACGCCTCATCGGCATGTTAGAGACCTGCGCCCTTTTTGGGCTCGAATCCCACAACTGACGGAAGAAGACACGGAGGATAGTGAACAGCCAATATACATAGAGTTGGATTCAACAACCAATCACTCCGATAGCGGTAGTTTGCCAATAGATCGGGACGGTTCAATGAGAGCTCCTCTGATGAAGAAATTCAACCAATCCCCTTCGAGGAGCACCTGAACAAAAGACCGTTGTCCTCACTGTCATCTGTGTGATCCGGAGATCAGGGGGGGAGTGTGGCGGACATGAGACAGAACCTGGGATTTAGCACAACTGGTCGCGATTTGCCTTGTTCCCGCCAAAAAGACCCCTATTTGCTTAGCATGTAAAGCTACTGCAGTTGAAATGAGGGAGAGAAAAAGCACTTACCGCTGCCACGAATCCATCCTCGCCCAGATAACATAAAAGAATGAGGGGGGACTGGCATCGCATTTTTATCCAAATGCAACGGGACATGGACGCAATGTATTATGGGACATGGACGCAATGAATTATGGGATCACATGAAGACGCAAGGGATTATGGGGTACATGAACAACTATAAAACAACTACTTTTTTCCAAGTCGGGAAGTTCTTCGAGGGATCGTTCACGGTTGACAGCTAGAACGGGCAGTTAGTGTGATTTGAGACAGAACTCAGGAAGGAACGACTCAAGTTTGAAATACCAGTTGGGAGCTTGAATTTACTCGCTGGTTACTGTTTTCTTCATTCGCCTCAGTGCACTTGTTTCTTCTACCTAATCACAAATTGAGAAATCCTTGTTAGTTTATATCCAATGAGCTTGAGTTCATTTACATTTGCTTGATATTTTACTAGATCCAATTTGAATGTAGCAAATATTTTTATAATATGCTTATTCATAATAGCTGATAATGACACCTTTTAAGAAACATACTGCAATAATTTGTTTTTTAGTTTTTACTTTTTCTTAGAATACTGAGTCTTGTATAATTTCCATTTTTTTATCAACTTTATTTCTTCAAAATATTGCAATTGGTTTCCAAAAACTAATTACTTTTACAAAAACATTAATCATGTTCATAATTTAAAATCAGAATTAGTCTTTCTTTTTGAAATTAACATTTTATATTTTATCAGAAATTGTCACTAATACTGTTTATTGAAATCTTAAAATTCTGAATTTAAAATCATTTTAAAAAGAAACTTACATAAGCTTGATTCTCAGAAAAAAATTAAAATAACTTCAATTACATTACAAAAGATACTCTCTACTTTTTTTTAATTCCATGTGAAAAGATTTTTCTTTTTTTTGCAATAGGAGATTTTAAGTATTCAGCATAGGTCAGAGATCAAAATAGGAAGGACATTTTATTTTTAAATGGCATTAATTGCTGACACCTGCATAAGTGCTGGTTGATAATTGCTGAGAAGATTTTTTTTTATCCTATAATATGGATGTTAAAATGAACATTATTCTTAATTGTCTTCACTCAATGTCTCTAACAAAAGTTATCATAAGTTAAATGCTATTACTCTAGCAAATGAGAACTGTCAGTTTTGTATTATGAAAATGATTTTTCACTAAAAATTTGCTGTTATTAGATTATTATACAAAGAAGGTTATGTTTTCATACTGAGTATTATAAAACTTAAAGAAAAATTGCTACATGAAATGTATTAAATAAGTGATTGTGAAAAAAAAGCATTAAACTGATCAATACTTATGCATGTTTATATATACTAAGTTTTACCTTTTTACTTACCGAAAATACAAATGAAAATTAGATCAGTTAATATTTCATGATTATTTTTTATCCAACAGTATTATTGAATTAGTACTGATTTTCATTGTTAATTTTTCTAACAATTGCAAAATAAATATTGAATACAAATATCTCTAGTTGTATTATTACTGATTTTCATTATTATGAGAGGAAGTCAAAAATTATTCACATGTTTATCTAAGGGTGTGTTATGGTGAAAGTGCGAATAATTTTTCACTTACCTTCATAATTTTTCTAACTGTAAAATAAGCATTGGATACAAATATCTCTAGTTGTGTTATTAGTGATTTTCATTATTAATTTTTCTTTAGTAAATATCATACAGATTTTTAAATTTTCAACAATTTTTTTTTCTAGTGACCTGAAAGTTTTTGAAAATTGAATTATTTGAGAATAGTTATTAGCATGCTCAATATTGTTTCAACAATTGAACTTCTTCATACACTTGCAGCAAGTAAATGAAGTGGTTCAATTTTGGTTATGAAAATTGAATTTTCGATATATATTTTAATATACAATATAGATTACATATGCATTCCAACATGCACACCTACTTTATAAGTATTTAAGAGAATTTCATAAATGTGCTCATTAAGAAAGAAGTTAGACTATTTTCTTTATCTTGATTTGTCCATATTTTCAAATTTCAAATTAATCCTTTCTATTAATTTTTTTCCAGGTAAAAAGAAAAAGTTTAATTTCTTGTACAACATAGAGATGCCTCTTGTGAACTTACAAATGTATTGAGTATAATTTTAATCTGTAATGATTTTTATTACAGCAATTTAAAGGTATTGCTTCAGAATTCTATAAACAGTGAAGCATCTGATAAAGGCTCTGTGGGTAAGTAGCAAGTTTATTGAATAATTTAGTTATATCTTTTAATGTAATGCTAATGATAAGATGTGCTTAAAGAAAGTAAAATCCGAATGTGTTATAGAATATCAAAAGGCCTGGATAATCTAAATTAGTTCTTCAGTTACTACTTGACAATATTTTAGGATGTCTTATAATCACAGGCATTGGTACATGTTTTAGATGAGACCTGGTCATATTGAGTTACCACTAGACTGTGTCATTCAAGGCACATGTACTAATAAAATAATTTTGGTTAAAATAGTGAAGTTAACTACCATATATTTCCATGTATAAGGCAACTTTTACATAAGACAAGGTAAAAAATATAGCAAATTTTCATGAATTTGTCCTATACGTATAAGACGACTGTTTATTGATTATATAAAGATGCTGTTATTGGAAATGTTGCTACTTACTGTATCCTTAGAAAATCAAAATAAACAAAATAACAAAACCAATTCTATATCATGTTTTTCCTACACACATCAAAGGGAAACCATTGTTTTATGTTTCATCACATCTCTTGCAAATACTGATTCTTCTTCCTCTTCTTTTCCTATATCTAAACAGTTACAAAAAGCCTGGTGTACTAAAAGCCATTTACTTATACTTCATCAACAATCATAAAATACCACTAACAACAGTATGATAATAGTACATTTCATTGCTGTGAACACTATCATAAATCAATGTTTATATTTTCTCAACTGATCTTGCATGGATACAAGTTGATTTCATTGATATGGAATTATTCTTCAAATAGACAATTTATTATGAAGTTATTCCTGTAATATATAAGGTAGAAATGGTTTTATTACTTTTATTATCAATTTATTTGATAATGTGAATCTTTTCATGTTCGTTATTAGTTATTGCACTGAGACCAAGGTTAGCCTACTGACAAACTTAGAATTGTTGTATAAGATGACCCCCAATTTTTAAGAATTATTTTTGGAATTTAAAGGTCATCCTATATGTGGAAATATAAGGTACTTCACCAAGTGTATGAGAATTTGTGTTATTTTATTAGCTGTTCTTTTCTCCTACATTCTGTCTTGTAGAGTTAAGTGATATAAACAGGGCAAAAGAATAATGCAAGTACTCACATGACAACAGCAGAAGTGAATATTTAATAAAAGAAATTTAATAATATGGAAAAAGATTTATTTGAGATGTTGAAATGTAAAGTTGTATTTTGGTATATGTGGTAGCAAAATGCATGAAAATTAATGAGTCATTAAGTTTAAACAGAGTTTGGAGAGTGTTCAATATCAGGTCATTTTCAAACTTTGATTTGAAAACAGTTCAGTCTGTAATAAAGGTTTTAAGTAATTATGTACATAATTTTAGCATGAATTAAAAATTACTCACTGAAAGTATATGTATCCATGATACAGATTAGAAAAGCTGATACTCTGAAATTAGCCATATTTCCTAGTTCAATGCAGCATATCTTAAAGATGGCAACTGAGTAGAAACTATTAAAAATGTATTTAGTAGCCCTTATTTTATGTAAACTTGGAGGCTCCTATGAACAAGTTCTGATTTAGGTATAGGCTGAATATCAATATGTTTTAAAAAGATTCAATAGGTCACTGGTGTTGCTGTCTACTAAATCATTTTTTGTTACAGATTTTAAATTCATTTTCTTTTTTTTTTTTTAATTTTAATTTTTTTTATTGGTTCTTAATAGCATTAATCCTTGACTCTACTTTTACACAAGTTCTGGTTATAGAGGTTATAAAGTAACTAGAACAAATTCTTTATTTTCAAAATATATTCAGTATTCAAACTATTTGTATTCATAAAACATATTTAATATATGTATTTTGATCATTTTCTGCTTGACAAATAAAATACATTGTATTGTTTCAACTTTCTGATTAAGTATTTTATCTGTACATGACCATTTTTATTGTTAGATACTTCCAAATGTTTTTGTATTAGAGATGGTATAAATGTAAAAAGTTTTAATTATTAAAAGATTAAGAATTAGAATCAGTGTCAAGACTTGAAGCTATTAATGTGAATGACAAGCCAAACCTGAATCCCTCACCAAAAGCTGAAATGGTGAACTTGACAAAATTAGAATCAACATAATGTCACACATTTGAAGAAGCTAATACACATGAAAAAAAAGGAGTGAAGCTTCTGTTAGGTTCAAAAATTCAACTCTTCCTTGTGAATGGTGTAGCCTATTTGATGACTAAGAAATATATTTAACTTTGGGAATACTGTTGAAATTTCACTCACATCACCTTTTTTTTTCCTTAATATTTTATTGACTTGAACTTTGATCTCAATCTGGTGACTCAGACTTTGATGACTTTTAAATTTTTTGATATTTTCAAAATATTAAAATTGTGTTTATTTTTTTAAATATATTTTGCAAAGTAGTTTTAGTTTAATAAAAGTTTTTAAACGTGAAAGTTTTGCTGATTGACACAACCTTAAGATAAGTAAAAGTGAAGATAACAAACATACACACACACAAACATGGAAAAAGGTACAAAGAGCATTATTCTAACTTGGTTAAACATAAACAAATAGCTCCTCATTTTTATTGCACTTAAGGTAATTCTTGATGAATGCTAACATCTTTTTAAAACATTTTTTGCAAGATATCTTTAAATAGATTCTTTGAACAGTTATTTTATTACATTCTTTTTATTGTTGCTGTCTTAAAACTTTTATTTACTATTTGATTTGATTATTTTTCATAAGGTTGTTTGCAAATTCAAACTGATTAATTTATTATTAAATACATTTTTATTTAGAATAGTATGCACATCTTAATTGTTATACTCACAATGCTTCAACTGTTTTACTCTGATTTTCTGTTGTATTTGGTAACCTCAGAATTTTGAACTCGTAATCCTTTATTCAATCCATGATTTTTGTCATTCATACTTAGATTGTTATCACTCCAAATATTTTAATAGTTCATAGTAAAGAAATAATAAAGATTAGTCATTTAATGTTTGTAATGTTTTTTCATCACATTTTTCTTTAATATCTTAAAATTTGTTTAAAGAAAATTTTATTTTTCTCTTCCAGAAAATCTAACAGAAGAAGTTTTAGAAGATATCAAAGGTAAACAAATTATTTTTGTTATTCCTTTCAGTTTTTTTAAATTCTGAAATTAACTAAAATCTACTTGGAAGTCGATAAGCCAGTCACCTATGAAAATTGTATATACCGATGTTAAATATATATTTTAATATAATTGTTGCATACATTACTATATTTTAAATATCACTATTTCATATAACACTCATCTCTTCATTAATTCTCTTTTTTATAAACTCTCTTTTCTTTCTCTACTCCTTCCTTTGCCGCTACCATAACTTGATCCTACATTTTCAACCACTCATCCCTTTTACTTTTTTCTTGCTGAGCTTTTTGCTTTAGCTCTCATTTCTTGAAGTTAATGTCAGTAAAAATTGGCAAATGCTAATACTTCTGAACCTAACATATGAAACAAGGGGAGGTGGTGAGATACAATGTTTCTTTGTTCTAGCATAGAGTGGCAAGTTCCCCATGATACAGAAAATGGAAAAAAAAAACTCTGAAATAAAGTAGAAAACAGAAAATCACAGAAAACGTGATTTTTCCTGCTAAAAAACAAAATCCAAATAAAAAACAAAAAATAGCAAGAGGAAAAAAAAAAAAAAAAAAAAAGGAAAATCAGAGCCATTTTTATTTCTAAATTTACCATACTATCAACATAAATTTAGTTTGTACTTTGTAGTAGACCTGCTGTCTACTGTCATTGCTTCAAAACTTTCTATATTCTGATGGTAAAATGTAAAATTCCTGTGCTGGGACTCTACAGAATCATTATTTTTCATAAATTTGCAATACATAGTGAAGTCAGTCACTTATAGGCAAGCACTATAACCTATATTGCTGCAACATGTCATTCTAAATAACACGGGGTATCTTCCACTACTGATCCCAGTGCAAGCACCATAACCTAATTCTGAGAGTAAATAAGAGATAGGCTCTCTCTGTCAGTTAATTCACTTTTCCCCAAAACATTTCACTTATTATATGGGGATAATAATGCTTAACTAAAATAATATTTTGGATTTTTTTATGGCAATATCTACATTCATCAGCAATGGCCTTTCTATAACTTGAGCAGTTTTATGTAAATAATGAAATATCATAAATTTGGCTCCATTCATTAATCTGGCCAGACACCAGCAGATGGAGGTTTATGTGTACAGCTAGATCCTATTTGATTAAACTTGTAAACCCAGAGTTAATTTCAAGTTTGATTTTCTAGTTTACCTTGTGTAAATTATTTTATTTCTGAAACTTTGTCTTTTACCTTATTTTATCATTCCTTATATTCTACAAACCCCATTGTAGTCTGATCTTTTAAGTTCACTACTAACCACAAGAATATAGCTTTGCTCTGCTGCTATAAGTTTACCTCATGGTCATGATTATGCAAGAATCTGTGTGGGACCATTAGCGTCATAGAGTCTTGAAGAATATGAATTATATATATATATATATATATATATATATATATATATATATATCATTATTAATAAGTCTGATTTTTAATTTACTTCTAGTTCGTTGTTGTTTTGTGACAAGTATCAACCGAGCCAAGCAAATCTTTGATGTACACTGTGGGAAAGCTGATTCTAATAAAGTAGGTTCTTTTATTATTTTGTTTATAATTTTTGTCATAAGTCTCTGAACTTAAGGAGAAATTTAATAAAAGCAAAAGATGAAAGATTTATAAGAAGTTAGCAAGAAATAAAATTAAAAAATATGTAAGTTGAAGACAAACTATTTTAATTTTTATGCATGTGAAAATACAAGACTAAAAATATACAAGTTGCAGAAAAGAAAAAAGAGTGCCTATTTTATTTCTATTTTTTTATCCTTAATATTTGCATGATTATTATTGTCTTTATGCTCAGAGCACTGAGCATCATCCAACAAAATAGCTTCATTTTTTACAATCTCTCTTTGTTTTTACAGTTAAAGCCATTTATTTAAGTAGTTTGTATGACATTGGCAAATTTATCATACATTGGTCTCTTTCCTTATAACATTACACTAATGCATTTTAGCTCTAGTAGCAAAAATAGGCAGGTATAAAGTGTGTGTGTGTGTGTATATATATATATATATATATATATAATGTGTGTGTGTAATTTTTATATATATTATTTATATATTTGTGCAGTACATATTGGAAAGTGCTCAATATCAGTGTTAGAGATAACATATTAAATTGGATTGATGTGAGTTTGTCTGGCAATTGCAAGGGAATGAAACGCAGGGTCACATACTCACATCAATTCAACTAAATATATATATAAGACTGAATAAGACTTGTGTTTTTATGTCCATCGTATTTGTCATATTGAACTGAATTGTATTTTGATGAATATTGTCTTGAAAAAGGTTTAATAAACCGAAACGTCAGACGTCGACATTTCTTTCATTTAACTACATTTAAGGATTTTTGTTTGTTTTTTCAAAATTTCTTCATTCTGTCGGATTTATATCCATTTACACTTGCTTATATATATATATATATATATATATATATATATATATATATATATTTAAGTCAACACCTGGAGGCAACAGTGTGTTTTCATGCTAAGTGCAATCCATGTGCATTGTGTTTTTGCTCAACGTTTTTTATATAAAAAGTCAAGCAAAAACACAATTCACATGGCCTGATGATTGCACGTACACACACACATACATATATATATATATATATATAATATTCTCCCTTGTGTGTGTAGGTGTAGAACTCAATATTACAGTAATCAGTGTGGATGAAGGTACATTAAATGTACCATGATACATATTTATATTCAGTTGTGCTTAATTAAATCCTGCAAAGGAACTGGCTATGCACACATTGTGTTTTTGTGTATCAGTTGATAAAATTGGGTTGGATGACTGTTATTTTTCTGATCTAAATATGAATTCTGAGAAAAATTTTAGTTAAGTTATTATTCATGTTTGATTCTATTTTAAAAATCTAACAATTGTTCATCTCATGTCTTTAGTGAATCTTTTACATTGGTGTTATTTAGAAACCAACTGAAAATATAAAAAAATCTTCATTTAGGCTATTTTTCTCCTGTTTAGGAAATTCACTTTTTTGTATTACTCTATATCTCTATTTTTATATAATTCATAGTTTCATTAAAGTTGTAAATAACTACCAGCAGAATTCTAGTTATTTTTTTATGAATATTAAAACAAAATGAAATAACTTTCCTTGATTTTTTTTTTTTTTTTCAATTGATGCAAATCCTATTTACTTTATAGTTACCTACACCACCTGTTGGTCTTGATTACCCACTTGGTGGTGATCGTTTCTTACACATCAGTGGCAGTACAAGGTAAGTCAAGTGCTTATTTGATACCTTCTGACTAGCATTTTATTCATATTTATCATATTACAATATTAATTTCTTTTTCCCCTTATTGTTCACTTTTGGATAAAGTATAAAATCATTTCTACTCACATTCTTTAGTTCTTTTCTAGAAAACCTCTTTAACAAAAAAAACTCCATATTCTGCCATGCTACTGTAACTTTAAATATAAAATAATTAATGAACAGTGTGTGGCTGGTGCCAGTAGAGATGGTTTCATTCATCTTTAGTTGTGTGATATTTTGTCATATAAATTCTAATAATGGTTTATGTATATTCCCATAATATCAGAGTAAACTTACTTGCTTAGCTATTCATTTTTGTTACACTCTAAAATTTTGTTAGACTCTTTTCTATTTGCAACAGTTAAAACATAGAAGCAGATTATGGAAATGTATATGAGGGATGCTGAAAAGTTTTCTACCAGTTCTCAACCAAGGATCCCTTAAAAAAACATCTATGTCAAGTTTTCAACAGCCTTCTTATGCTATTGAAAAGTTAACAATTATCTGACAAGTGTGTATGGGTGTGTTTTAAAATTTAAACTTATTATCCATTTATTTATCTACTCAGTTTTATCAACGTATTTCCTATCTGAGACATGAAATTCTATTTGATTTTTGGCTCTTGTTATAACATTCATGGGGAAAATCATCCCCATTTAGTCATAAATTATGACATAAACCTTTATGTGAATATTTTGAAAACTGCTCCAATTCAGTTTATGACCTACCAATATAAATAATGTAGACTAGAGTTGAAATGTAGTCTAGAATTAAGAATAGTTTTAACATCCATTTCAACTAGCATTCATAGATTTGGCTTAGAAGATGATTTAGGTTTAATTTCATTAACATTGAAAGAAGCAAGGATAATATTTTTTTTCTTTGTCGCCTGACGACTGTTTACATTTTTTTTACTTATGGATCTTTTTTTCATGCAGAGAAGAGGCTTGTGAAGTCTTATTTGAACAGGATAATGAAGAGATATCATTAGCCACAATGATTCTGGACTCTTTAATAAAGGTTAGTAAATTTTTTAACCTTCCTCTAAAATTTGGATATTAATGAAATGTTTTTTAGTAAGTTATAAGTATTAATATTTTATAAATTATCTGGAATGACTTATATATTCTTTTTAATATTCTCATCTGATGATTTTGCTCCTTTCTGCAAGAATGTGGAATAAGGTTTTCAGATTATTTAAATAGGTTAAGTATATATGAAAAATTTACTAGTTTAGCACTTCATGTTTGAAAATAATTTTTACTATTTACTTTTCATATTCCTCCAGTAAGCACTCAAATATTTACATTTGCTCATTCACAATTTTTCATCTGCCCTGTTGGCTGTGGCTGTAGAATATGCCGACTGCGCCTCTGTAGAGGGGTAAGACCCCTCCCCCCAATGGGGCCACCTGTTGGCCTTGGGTGGCAACCTATAAGATGCTAGGACGGAATCCTGGTGGTTGAGCAGTCATTGATCCACAGACAGAGTGGTCAATGACTAGCAACACACCACTTTGGCCCTTACTTGGTCTGATGGGCGGTCGGATAGGCCCAATCCGATCAATTGACTGATCGTGACAAGCCCTAGTATTTATATATTTAGCCCCGACCATATTATTCAATCTGCACTTATAGCAAATACCCAACGCTCTTATCTTATAATTGCTAGAAGCTGGCAATTGCGTTGAGTGAGTGAGATTTTGACCACTGATATATTACACAGTACTTGGTATTGGTTACTGAAACCTGAAATTGACGGGCTCAGAATTTTACTCCCCAGCTCGAGTATACTGATAGGTGAATGGGTTTCCCCCTTGGTTAATTCCCAACTCAAGTTGGACTCTGTGGTGGGTGAGGGAGCATAGGACCAATGAATAACTAAACTTTAAATATGGCTTTTCTAAAAACAAAACAAAAACAAAAGAAACTTCTCAGAATCAGATTCTGACATAGAAAATAACGAATTCTCGAAAGTTATAGTCATAGGATAAATGGAAGATACACCTCTAAGTAAATTATCACCCTTTCTCATTGAAAGGATAATAACTAGCAGGTCAAATCCGAAATCAGTTAAAAAAATCAGAAACGGAAACCTAATGGTAGAAGTAGCTGAGAAAAAAACATGCCGAAAATTTACTAAAAATGGAAAGGTTTCATAATTATAAATATAAGGCTTACCTGCATGAGAGGTTGAACTCTTGTAAGGGAGTCATAAGAAGTCAAGAATTGAGCTTAGCAACAGAAGAAAAGATAAAAATGGCACTGCAAAGGCAGGGTGTCACTGATTACAAAAGGATTAGCATTGAGAGGAATGTTGAGAGTATACTGACCAACACATACTCACGTTTGACTCACCCACTATCCCAAGGGAAGTTAAAATAGGTTTCATCGTTGAAAGAGTGGAACTCTATGTACCAGCTCCCTTGTGGTGTTTTAAGTGCCAGAGATTTGGACACCACAAAGACATATGACAGAAAAGAACCCAGCCCATATGGAAGAGGAATGCTGGAGAGAAAGGAGTCGCGCCAATTATCATGAGAACCACCCTGTGTTCTCTAGAGATTGTGAAGTTTATAGGAAAGAAAAAGAGGTGGTGCAAATTAAACACAAAAGAAATGTGTCCTTCCCAGAAGCTAGAAGGATTGTCAACTCCTATATGGGAGTGCAGTTGTATGCCTATGTAACACAAAAAACAAATATCAACGAACAAAAAACTCAAGAAAACAAATACCATGAACTGATAGACAAATTACCGCATTTGACTACAAATGAGTGGCCAAACTTTCAAGAACACCTTAGAAAGACTTATGGAGCTCAAGAGGAAATGGATGGTAAAAAACGAAAGATGAAAACATACCTCATTCTCCTGCAAAGACTACTTCTAAACCAAAACACCAAAGATCTCCTCTCCATCCACCAACATGCGAGGTGAGCAATGGGAAAAGGGTAACAAAGACCTCCCCAAAGAGGAATACATCCACAAAGAAATCATTGGGCCAGTCAAACGACCCAGTGGTTCCTGTGGAGCTTAAAAACAGGCATAATCTATTGGAAAAAAATGGAGGTTGAGGAGCCTTTACCCACAAGGGTAAAAACTAAGAAATCTCAAAAAAAAAACCCCATAGACCCCAAAAATTAAAATTATATGGACAATAAAATCATACAGTGGAATATCAGAGGAGCAAGAGTCAATACTTCTGAATTATTGCTTCTTATAACAAAATACTGCCCAGCAATCATATGCCTTCAAGAAACACATCTCAAAAAGAATACCATCAACATCAAAAACTATCAATCATACAACTATATTAAGCAGTACACCGATAGACCTTGTAGCAGATCATCAGTACTCATTAACAACAATATCACACTAAATACCAATATGCAAGCAGCCGCTATATCAGTAACCCTCCACAAAACAATAACAGTGTGTTCACTATATATTCCCCCAAGTGAAGAACTCAAAGAATTGGAGATAAACAATTTGATATCACAACTACCAAGACCCTTTATTATAATGGGGGGACTTCAACAGCCATAATGAGATCTGGGGAAGCAAGAAAACAGACAAAAAGGGCAAAATAATAGAATCGGTATTAAACAAACATCAGTTATGTATGTATAACAATGAATCAAACACATACCTACACCCAGCAACAGGCACATAATTCAGCAATAGATTTAACAATATGTGACCCTAACCTGTTTCTGGATTATAACTGGAAAGTACATGATGACACATGTGGAAGTGACCACTTTCCGATTCTACTAGAAAATACCACCACAAACTAAATAAAAAAACTCTGAGCTGGAATTTAGAAAAGACTAACTGGGATGGATTTAAAACTTCATGTCTAGTCGAAATAACCACAGAAGCCAATAAAAACAATGAAGAAAACATCCTATATTTTACCAACACACTGTTAAAAATGGCCAAAAAACATATACCAAAAAGCTCCACTTCTTCAAAATAGAATAGGCCATAGTTCAGTGAGGAATGCAAAAAAGCTACCAGATTACACAGAGCAACACTAAAGAAATTTAAAATAAACTCAACATGAGAAAATTTAGACACCTATAAAAATAGCAGAGCCAAAGCCTGAAAAATCATCAAAGAATCCAAAAGAAATACATGGAAAAAATACGTTGCCAAAATAAATAACACAAAACCAAAAAAAGTATGGCAGATGATTCAGAAAATAACTGGCAAACATAGCAATACCCCTACCAAACATCTTATCCACAATAATCAAAAGATTACCAACGAGAAAGATATAGCAAACCATCTTGTTGAAACTTTCTCGCAAAATTCATTCACAGAAAACCAAAGCAAAAATTTTCAAACCATCACAACAAAAGTAGAAAAAGTAAAAATCAAATTCTAAAACAAAAATACTGAAAGCTACAACCAACCTTTCTGTATTACAGAACTGAAGGAAATTAACAAGACCCATTACTCTTAGCAGTTGTGTCCAGACAAAACACTATCAAGAATGAAAAATTACCCAAACCATCTAGTATCTACAAATCTAACAAAGTAACAACTGAATATCCCTAAAATCTGGTTTTAAACTAAAGTTAAACCTAAACCTATGGATCATCTGATCCGCTTTACAGAAACATCAGAGAGCAGTTTTATTAAAAACTAGAGAGCATGATAAATGACAGATTTTCTTTGATCTTGAAAAGGCAAGAGACAGAAAATGAACAGACCAAGGCAAAGAAAAATTGATCATCTGATCCAAAAAAACTTTATCTAGAAGGTTTTATTAAACAGTATTTTAAAATTTCCAGATTGATAGAAGATTCAGAAAGAAAATAGGAGATATTTTCTCTGAACAGAAAAGAAAGAAGAAATTGATCATCTGATCCTCAAGGCAGTTTATTGTTTGTTTTGCTAAATAATATTTAATAAAATAAATGATATTGTAAAAGACCAAGAAATAGAGAAACAACTATGTTTTGTAAGTAGATTGATCATCTGATCCATTATAAACGTTTATCAAGAAATTTGAACCATTAGAAAGTTTAATAAATGCCAGATATGATCTTGATAAGCTCAACCAATGGACCACAGAGAATGGGAACAACCAAGTTCAAAGAAAAAAACAAATCTGTCCACTTCTGAAACGTTTATCAAAATAAACTTAAACATTAGAGAGTTTAATAAATGAAAATTGATCTGGTATCTAGAAATTCCAGTTGTAGAACAATACAAATAAGTAAGAATTATTTTGATCATCTGATCCACTTTGTTTCCCCTTTATTAAATACTTTTATTAAACATTAGAGAGTTTAATAAATGCCAATTGATCTAGAACCATAGAAAGACCAAGAGAGAGAGAGATGTGAACAGACCAAAGAAAGAAGTTAAAATTATCATCTGATCCACTTATCAACGATTAAAAGAGGCTTTTATTAAACATTAGAGATTTAATAAATGCCAGAAAAATATATTTAGAAAGAACAAGAGAGAGATAACACCATCAAAGACTCATAGATCATCTGATCCACTTAGAAACGTTTAGCACCTCTCCTTTTGAAAACATTATAGAGTTTAATAAATGAAATTGATCTGGTAAACTCTAGAAAGAAAAGAGAGAGAGAGAGAAACATACTAAGTAAAACTATCATCATTCCTCTAAACCCAGAAACGGTTATCAGAGAGCCATTATTAAAAAGAACATTTGGCAGTTTTCTTTGATCTTGAAAAAGGCATATGACCATCAAACGTTTGACATAGTAAAAGATTTAAAACAACATAGGAGAAAACCTGATAAATTCAACACAAATTCACAAATAGAATTCATTTAAAATGGGAGAGATTTTCTCTGATCAAAAACCAACAAAAATAATTTTAGACCTCAAAGCAGTGTAAAATTCATTAAACCCTTTAATACCAAAATAAAATATTGAAAAAAAAAAAAATAAATAGCAGAACAAACTGTGCTTTGATGGGATGACTTCCAATATTTTATAAAGCAATAAATATGAACCATCTATAAAGATGGTCCAGAT